AGCAATTCTCCTGCTTCAGCCTCCCTAGTAGCTGGGATTACAGGCATCTGCCACCACGTCCGGCTACTTTTTTTGTATTTTTAGTAGAGACGGGGTTTCACCATGTTGGCCAGGCTGGTCTTGAACTCCTGACCTCGTGATCCACCCACCTCCGCCTCCCAAAGTGCTGGGATTACAGGTGTAAGCCATTGCGCCCAGCCGATTTATTATTATTTTTTTAATAAGGACTGGAGTCAAATATAATTACAATGTTTTGTTTGGTTTTGCTTCTGTTCTTGGCTTTTGTTTAGCAATGAGAATCTATCCAAGGTATTCTTAATATTTGATTATTTAGATGCCTAGCTTTGCTTTTACTTTGTAAGGAAACATTGTCAATTTTATCATTGTATACTACTGGTGGAAACTTTGAATTGATATTTCAGTGAAAACCAATTTTCTGTGGATTGTAAGACCACAAATGCTACAGCAATTTAGAACAAGAAAACCTGATTTTGATTAAAATGGGGATAAATAATGAAAACTCACCACAAAATAAAATTTACACTGTTACTGGCTTTTGGAGAAAAATATTTAGATATTAAATCTATAAATAGAACATTTCTCTGCTTCATGTGATATTTTATTCTTAACTAAAAAGTTTGAGGTATAAAATAATGCATTGTATTTCTTTGTATATCCTTCCAGTTACAGATATCCTATGATGCAAAGTAAATTGGGAAAGGAGATGATAGCAGGTGGAATGGCAGCTTATGGTATTCTATAAGTTGGATAAAAATATCCTCTTAGTATATAAATCTTGGAATTGATCTGTTAACCTTCTTGGTAACACGAACAGGTGGTTTATTTTATGATGTTTTCCCCCTTTGTTTCCCATCTTTTTTTTTTTTTTTTTTTTTTTTTTTTTTTTTTTGAGACAGAGTTTCGCTCTTGTTACACAGGCTGGAGTGCAATGGCGCGATCTCGGCTCACCTCAACCTCCGCCTCCTGGGTTCAGGCAATTCTCCTGCCTCAGCCTCCCGAGTAGCTGGGATTACAGGCACGCGCCACCATGCCCAGCTAATTTTTTGTATTTTTAGTAGAGACAGGGTTTCACCATGTTGAACAGGATGGTCTAGATCTCTTGACCTCGTGATCCACCCGCCTCGGCCTCCCAAAGTGCTGGGATTACAGGCGTGAGCCCCTGCGCCTGGCCTGCTTCCTGTCTTTTTATCACAAAGTTACTCTTCATTTGAATGTCTGCTTTTCTTGGAACAAATTGCTAGGTTATCAGAATGCAAGGAGACAAGTCATCCTGTCAGGTACAGAATTCAATGCTGTCAAATTTCTTGTATTGGGGAGAACTTTAGGTAGGTGGAAGAAGAACATTTCCCTTCATATAACAGATAAAAAGTGTCATATCACAAGCATGAGAACCATTTGCCATGCTGAAAGAAACTCCTTTTCTTAAGTTTATGAATAATTACATCGTGAGTGACAATCAAGATAAAAACTGTACTTTTATCTAAGTGCACATGTAATCATGAGTAAAGTGCTTCCTGAAAGATGAGCAAGTATATTGCTTGAAAAATAATCTCACACTTATCTGTCTCACTTAGCAATCAAGCACAATGAAACGTGTTATTTCTCTAATAATTCAGGCAAGAAAAAATGTGATCAAAGCATGTGTAAAAGCATATTCATAGCTTCTGTCTGTATCTTCATCAGTGGTCATCCCAGAAACTTTCATTTAATGAGACAGCAAAGATTAAGTTTATAATAAAAGAACTGTATGAAAGAATTTCAGAATGCTATATTATTTGTCTTCTGACTTAGGAACTGTATGAATTAATTTTAGAATGCCATGCTGTTTGTCTTCTGCCTTTGTTTAATTCTTATGGAATTTGAATTTTAAAAAAATGGTTCTGAGCAAGTACTGCAGTGAATAGAAGATAACTAGATCCTAGCACTGGTCTTCCGTTTACAACTTGCACCACAGACTGTGGCAAGTCATCTGATATGATCTGGCTCTTCTCTGCACCCCCACCTAAATCTCATGTTGAATTGTAATCCCCATTGTTGTGGGAGGGAACTGGTGGGAGGTGATTGGATCTTGGATGCAGATTTCCCACTTGCTGTTCTAGTGATAGTGAGTTCTCTCCAGATCTGGTTGTTTAAAAGTGTGTAGCACCTTCCCCTTCGCTCTCTCTCCTGCTGGCCAAGTGAAGATGTGTGCTTGCTTTTTCTTCACTTTATTCCATGAGTGTAAGTTTCCTGAGGCCTCCCCAGCCATGCCTTCTGCACAACCTATGGAAGTGAGAGTCAGTTAAGCCTCTTTTTAAAAATAAATTACTCTGTCACAGGTAGTTCTTTATAGCAATGAACTAATACAGAAAATTGGTACCAGAGAAGTGGGGCATTGCTATAAAGATAGCTGAAAATGTGGAAGTCACTTTGGAACTGGGTAACAGGCACAGGTTGGAACAGTTTGTAGGAATCAGAAGATCAGAAGATAAGGGCAAGTTTGAAATTTCCTAGAGACTTGTTGAATGGTTGTGACCAAAATGCTGATAGTGATATGGACAGTGAAGTCCAGACTGAAGTGGTCTCAGATGGAGATGAGGAACTTATTGGGAACTGGAGTAAAGGTTGCTCTTGCTATGCTTTAGCAAAGAGACTAGTGACATTGTGTCCCTGTTCTAGGGATCTGTGGAATTTTGAACTTGAGAGAGATGATTTAGGGATATGTAAAAATAAATTTCTTTCTTTTTTTAAATTATACTTTAAGTTCTGGGATACATGTGCAGAATGTGCAGGTTTGTTGCATAGGTATACACATGCCATGGTGGTTTGTTGCACTCAACAACCCATCACCCATATTAGATATTTCTCCTAATGCTATCCCTCCCCTAGCCCCCACCAACAGGTCCCAGTGTGTGATGTTCTCCTCACTGTGTCCATGTGTTCTCATTGTTCAATTCCCACTTATATGTGAAAACATGTGGTGTTTGGTTTTCTGTTTCTGTGTTAGTTTGCTGAGAATTATGGTTTCCAGCTTCATCCATGTCCCTGCAAAGGACATGAACTCATCCTTTTTTATGGCTACATAGCGTTCCATGGTATATATATGCCACAATTTCTTTATCCAGTCTATCACTGATGGGCACTTGGATTGGTTCCAAGACTTTGTTGTTGTGACTAGTGCTGCAATAAACATACATATGGATGTGTCTTTATAGTAGAATGATTTATAATCCTTTGAGTATGTACCCAGTAATGGGATTGCTGGGTCAAATGGTATTTCTGGTTTTAGATCCTTGAGGAATCACTAGACTATCTCTGTTGGAAGAAATTTCTAAGCAGCAAAGCATTCAAGAGGTGGTTTGGCTGATGCTAAAAGCCTATGCTTATTTCCATAAACAAAGAAATAACCTGAAATGACCTGCAACTGGGACTTATGTTTAAAAGGAAAGCAGAGCATAGAAGTTTGGAAAATTTGCAGCCCTACCATGTGGTAGAAAAAAAAAATACCTATTTTCTGGGGAGCAATTAAAGAAGGCTATATAAATTTGCATAAGTAAAGAGGACCTGAATGTTAATAGGCAAGACAACGGGGAAAATGCCTTCAAGACATTTCAGAGAACTTCAGTGCAACCCCTCCCATTGGAGGTCTGGAGAGAAAAATGGTTTGGTGGGCCAGGCTCAGGGACCCACTGCTCTGTGAGGCCTAGGGAAATGGTACCCTGCATCATGGCTGCTTCAGCTCCAGCCTTGGCTAAAAGGGGCAAAGGTACAGCTTGTGCCATTGCTTCAGAGGGTGTAAGCCCTAAGCCTTGGTGACTTCCACATGGTGTTGGGCCTGAAGGTGTGAAGAAGGCAAGAGTTGAGATTTGAGAGCCTTTATCTAGATTTCAGAGGATGTGTGGATGTCCAGGCAGAAGTCTGTGGCAGGGGTGGAGCCCTCATGGAAAACATCTACTAGAGCAGTGCAGGGTAGAAATGTGAGTTGGAGCCCCCACACAGAGTCCCCACTGGGGCATTGCCTAGTGAAGCTATGAGAAGAGGGCCATTGTCCTCCAAATCCAAGAATGGTAAATTTGCTGACAGTTTGCACCATGGGCCTGGAAAAGCCACAGGCACTCAATTCCAGCCTGTGAAAACAGCCATGGGGGCTATATGCTGCAAAGCTTTTGGGGAAGAGCTGTCCAAGACCTTGGGCAGCTTTCATTCCTTTAAATAGAGAGGCTTTTTAGCCAAACTTAATTCCTTAGTATTTCCTTTTTCTTCCAGGCATTTTCTTGTTGATGAGAGCATACAATATTTATTTTATTGGAAAACATTATCAGGCAACATATTTTATGGACAATAGCTCTATAACCTGAAACAATTGAAATAATTATGACTTGAAATGATAGAAATTTGATTGGCTTCTAGATTTATTGTTGTAGATTTTTTTCCATAAGGAGCATACTTTGCCCATTTATTATAGAATGCAGTTAAAAATATATTTTTTGAGGTTAGCCTCTCCAGTTTAAAAGCACTTAACTAGAAATACCTGGACGGTGATGCAATGCTCTCTCCCAAACAGGCTCCCTCATACCAAGTACCATAAACAGGGTGTGAGAACGTTCAATCAATTTCTTGATATAAACAATCAAAGCATTTAATAAAACCATCTTCCAAATTTCCAAAGCGTGCAGTTACTTGGCATTAGGTATTTCAAAATGACAAACTTTGTTATGGTATTGTAAGGCCAAAATATAATACCTATTTACCAGACATACATGTTACAACTAGAAAAAAATTACAAATGTTAATCTAGCATAAGAATTCCAGCAGGAATTAATGGAGAAAGGCACTGCATCCCTCTCATATCACCACAGAGCTACTGTCCACTTGACATGCTTTGAATTCAAATCCTTTTAGACATGGGGACAGCATTTTCTACAACATAACATTCACAGGTAGGTTAATACAACTCAGTCTCCCACTGCCATACTTTTCACCCAAGTGTACAACAGGTATGAATATATGCTATCAGCTTTATTTACAAGTTTTTTCTCGATGTCTCAGTGTGGTAAAAATACCCAACTATCTCAACCAACAGTTTCCAAAAAAGTTTTTGTTGGAAAAGATTCGTGTATAGAAACCACCACATCAAAGAAATAACAGAAACTGATGTCCGACTCCAAACACCGAAACTAAAATGTCTCACCCACTACCAGTTGGCAGTGAAACTGCTATTCTCTGAATTGTATAAGCTAAACACTACAGAGGAACTTCAGATCAACTGCTTTTGCAGAAGTACAGGTTACGTGTTGCACAGTTTAGGACACCGAGTGAATGTATTCCAGGAAGAGTTCCACCAGCGAGTGCTGTTGCAAAGAGCGTCGAGAATCCGAGAATCTGGGAAAGATGATAAGTTTTCCAGATGCTTTCCTCGCTTCCAAAAAGATGTAAAACAAGGGTGTAACTTCATATACGAACAAAGGTTAGTTTTGAAAATCAGTAATATACATGCACAAACATGAGAACATGAGGGAAGAAAGGAAACGCGACAATTTTCACGCTGCATTGCTGCTGTTTTCACGACCTCTCTGCACTAGGTGGCTTCCTGTGGTACCTCTTTCTACCAGTAGAGAGTGGACCCTGCGGGCTGCTTAGAAACAGGAAGCTCTCTCCTGAACCCACTGACCAGCCTGCCCTTTGCACAGACAGAACCTACCAGAGAAGAACAAGTACAAAATACTATCATGATCAGTTGTCTCAAGACAGTCCCAAATGTCCTTGTGCAATCACCACAGACTTGGGGATTGGCCAAAGCCATTTCCGGGTGCCATGAACAGTCACTGGTGTGCAGCATTAGAACAAGGGGACATGGCTTTTATTCTCTTCTGAGAAACATGAACTGGGATTTCTGCCACCCCGATCTCGGCTCCCACCTCCGAAGAAGTCGTGACCAGCCACCTCCACAGTAAGATTCCTCCCATGAGTATGATTTGGAATGCATCCTCGTCACGTGCCAGTTCAGCTGAGGTGGATCGGCGTGTACTCCGGCTGCCTGGTCTGGATAATTTTTGGCTTGGGTCTCTTCATTCTCTCCATCTCCTCTTCTTCCTCCTCCTCTTCATCGCTCTCACATACGTGGACTACCGCGCTGGGAGTGGTGTCAGTCGCTGCGTGCAATTCATACTTTTTCCCCTGGACCCAGCTTGGAGATAGCATATAAGAGATCATAGTTTATGACTGGGGTTGCGTCTTCCACTTGTTTCCACCCCACTGGCGGAGAGGCGGGAGGGGAGATCAGAAACAAGGGAGATCAGAAACTGCTTGTCGGGGTTTGGCGGAGCCAGGTGTGAGCTTCCTATGTGTAAGGTCTGAGCAAAATGTAACTTCATTTCCTTTCCCAGAAACTCAGTCTTATGCAGCTGGAGCCTGACATCTGCTGCGGAGAAGGGGTTGCTGAAGTTTATTCTGACTCTTTTGAAACTCTTAAAATACTGAAAAGCGATGTCCTTGCCTTATGTCCTAAAGAGAAACTCAAATTTGGCCCGGCACAGGCCGTCCACAAACACGGGCGGGTCCGGGTGGCAGGCGATGGTGGCGCTGGGCAGGTCCTGCAGGTCCGCCTCCTCCATCTCGCAGTCAATGAAGCTCCAGTGGCCGCCGCCCTCGTCCGCCTCCGCAGTCCCTGAGAGGGGCGCTAAGGGCAGCAGCGTCACCCCGGGCCGCGCTCACGCCTCGGCCGCCTCCGCCGCCGCCCTGTGCAGGGGCCCGGCCAAGACGTCCTCCATCCCAGCTCCCGCGCGCCCCTGTGCACCCACGCAGGCTGCGCCGGGCTCGTGCTCCGGAGCCTCACGCGCGCCCGGCCACGGTTAACCCCCTCCGGTTCGCGCGGCGGCGACCACCGTTCCGCGCGGGAGGGGCAGAAACTCCGCGCGGCGCCCGCTTGCCCAGCCCCGAGGGCCGACCCTGTTGTAGATTTTTTTTAAGAGAAAAAACATATTCAGTCTGCTTTTAAAGTGGCTAAGGAATTCTACTAAAAATTGTGATGTAAGGGAAAATTGTCCTCAGCTTCTTAGGCTACCATTTGACACTTAACTTCACTACTTAGCTTTACCCAAATTATGCTTTTCTCATCCTTTTCTTGCCTAATAGAGATGCTTGTTCTTTCTCCTTTTTTTCTGTCAAAAACAAAGTATATTTGTTTTTCCATGCTACGAATTGATAAAATATTGTCCCAATGAGGTAGAAAATGACAAAAAAGTCAACTATTAGTTCTTCCAGTTGTTTTAATTTTTTTATTTTCACTATATTTTAGTAGAAAAAAAAATAGTTTTACGTCAAAAGAAAGGAACCCAAAACTGGAGGCATTTTAAGACATCTAGTAGGAAGGACAGATAGAAAAACATTTCTCTATATAGATATGGGTACATACGTTTATATATGTAAATATAGATATAGATATATATGTAAGTATGTATTTTTATATCAATCATAGTTCAGATGTAATGTCAAAGTATTTAGGGAAACTATTACATAAAGTACATTTGTTTATTAAAAAGAAGGATTTTCATAGTAGAGTATGAAGTTATTTGAACAGTTAATAAGGCTAGTTAGGACAAAATTAGAAAAATGTATGTGAACCATCTCCAAGATATGAGAGAATTACGTGCCAGATGTACTATATAACAAATTAGTGTTGAATATTACATATGACTCTAACATAATTATGAATACAAAATATATAACTAGAATATCATTTACCAAGGTTTTCCACATGAAATAATACTGTTTTTAAACCTTAAAGCATACATTGTAATAAATGTTACGATGTTCAGAATTCTAAATACAGGATGACAAACCTTTCTCCTATTGTTTGCTTGTATACATTTAAAAAAACTTTTGCTCCTTTTTGGTGGATAATAACACACACGTACACACATACATGCATCCCCATTAAAAATGTCTGGACTTACATATTTCTAAGATCAGCTCTGTGTGTAAGAAATTTAATGTAGCTGCCAATTTTGTGTGGTTCTGGGGAAATAATAGTTTAAAATATTCTAGCTGGCTGAGGGCAGTGGCTCAGGCTTGTAATCCCAGCGCTTTGGGCGGCTGAGGCGAGCAGATCACTAGGTCAGGAGTTCATGACCAGTCTGGCCAACACAGTGAAACCCGATCTCTACTAAAAATATAAAAATTAGCTGGGTGTGGTGGTGGATGCCTGTAATTCTAGCTACTCAGGAGGCTGAGGCAGGAGAATAGCCTGGGCAACAGAGCTAGACTCCGTCTCAAAAAAAAAAAAAAAACTAGTTTGCCTCTAATTTTACTTCTAACTCCAATCTGTACTCCTGAAGCAAGATGTTTTTGGATGAGACAGCAGGCAGATGAAGGCCTGAGAGTGGTAGAAGAGCTATTCTGGGCTTTCCTCCCTCAGGGCTAGAGGACAGCTTGGAAACTAGCAAAGGAAAACATGGACCACTTCAAGTCTCAGAGCAAAAATTCTAAGAGACAAAATTGGGATGGAAAATAAAAGTGATATGGTAACTGACAAATGGAATTTACACAAATCTGAAAATTCTGAAAAAGAAAAAGAAGCAGAGACAATGAGTATGCAAAGAGAAGAAAACTCTGAGCAAATTTAAAACGTGATCTGCACAATCCCATTACTGGGTATATAACCAAAGGAATATAAATCATTCTACTGTAAAGACACATGTACATATATGTTTATTGCAGCACTATTTACAATAGCAAAGACTTGGAACCAACCCAAATGCCCATCAATGAGAGACTGGATAAATAAAACATGGCACATATACAGCGTAGAATACTATGCAGCCATAATAAAGAATGAGTTCATGTTCTTTGCAGGACATGGATGGAGCTGGAAGCTATCATTATTAGCAAACTTACACAGGAATAGCAAATGAAATACAGTCTGTTCTCACTCATAAGTAGGAACCGAACAATGAGAACACGTGGACACAGGGAGGGGAATATCACACACTGGGGCCTGTCAGGGGTTTGGGGGATAAGGAGAGGGTGAGCATTAGGACAAATATCTAATGCATGCAGGGCTTAAAACATAGATGACAGGTTGATAGGTGCAGCAAACCACCACGGCACATCTATACCTATGTAACAAACCTGCATGTTCTACACATGTATCCCAGAACTTAACGTAAAATTTAAAAAAAATGTTAGCTGCAGATTGAAAGAGCTCACCGTTTTAGACTGATGAGATTTGTATTGTTTGAGTTTCTTATATGTTTTGGATCTTGACCCTTTATTAGCTGTATAGCTTGCAAATATTTATTTCCCATTCTGTGGGTTGTCCCTTTACTTTGTTAATGGCTTGCTGTGAAGACGTTTTTTAGTTTGATACCATATTATTTGTCTCTTTTTGCTTTTGTTGCCTGTACTTTTGAGGTCATATTAAAAAAAATCATTGCCCCAGCCAGAATTGCGGGGATTTTTCTGTTTTCTTTTAGTAGTTTCACAGTTTCAGATATCATGCTTAGATTTTTAATCCATTTGGGTTGATTTTTGTATGTGGTATGAAATATGGATCCAATTTCATTCTCCTTCACGTGGATGGCTAGTTGTCCCCACACTATTTATTGAAGATATTGTCCTTTCCCCATTGTGTGTTCTTGGCACCTTGGTCAAAAATCAGTTGATCCCCGGAGTCACCGTGCCGGAGTGACCGAGCCCGGGACTCCACTTCCTCCTCTTTAGAGATGACAGATTAGGGGCATCTCGCGTTCTGGGGTGCCCTAAACGCGAGATGCCCCTCATCTGTCATCTTCAAAGAGAAGGAAGGGCGCGGTGGCTCACGCCTGTAATCCCAACACTTTGGGAGACGGAGGCAGGAGGAACACTTGGGCTCAGGAGTTCAAGACCTGCCTGGGCAACATAGGGAGACCCCGGTGTTACGGGAAGAAAAACATTAGCCGGCGTCGTGGCGGGCTCCTGTGGTCCCATCTACTCTGGAGGCTGAGCCGGGAGGATCGTTTGAACCCGGGAGGCGGAGGTTGCAGTGAGCTAAGATTGAGCCACTGCACTCCAGCCTGGAGTAGCGACAGAGCTACTTGGGCAGACAGGAGTGGTGACAGGCAGGGAAGATGGTGCCCAGGGCCGGGAATAGCCGGCTGACAGCAGGGAGGCGGCTGAGGCCCGGGAGCCAAGAGTTGAAGCAGATCCCAGGGCCAACTCCGCAGTCGCATCTCCAGCTTTGTTCATGGGTCTGGGAAGCAGTGGCCTCTGGCCACCCCACGTGCGCGCCGGGCCCACTTCTCCACGGCAGCGCGGCCCAGGCTGCCCCGGGCCTGCGAGTTTCCCGCCAGGGCCGGGCTCGGTCTGGCCGGAGGAGGAAGGCGCGGCCCTGGTGGGGAAGGCGCAGGGCTGCGGCTCAGGCCACGGGGCAGGGGTAGAGAAACGACCCCGGCGCCGTCTAGGCGCCCAGCTCCGTTCCCCCCGCCCCCGCCCCGCCGCCAAGAGACTCCAGTGACCGGTGGCTGCTGGGGGCCCACAGAGCCCTGGAACTCACCGGGTTGACTCGCGGTGCAGAAGCCGGTGGAGTCTGAGATGGCGCTCGGAGCTGCGGCCGCGCTCCACCGCGGAAGGATCGGATTTCACCGCTGGTTTTAAAATTGTGCTCGCGGAGCCCAGGACGCTGGGAGAAGTGTTCTGCACCCCTCCGGTAGCGGTGTCCGCATTAAACTGACTTCCAGAGCTGCCTCTGCTCCCTGGAGGGGAGGGCACCGGTGTCTCACGAGATCGCAGGTCCTCAGCCTCCCGCCCGCCTGCCTTGCTCCAGATGAAGGGGAGGACCCCGCCTCGCTGCGCTGACCTCTGGCGGCTCTGTCCTGGCGTAGGATGTCTCTATCCAGGAACCTGAGGAGGTCAGACTCCTGCACCCCGAACCTCTCCAGGTCCTCACCATGAAATACGGACATCTGCGCCCACAGGTCCTGCGCAGCCAGGAGGCTCAGCGCCCGAAGCTCGTCCCAAAGCTGTGCACCCTGCAGGAACCGGCTGCAGAGAAAGTGCTGGAATGGCCCAGTGTGGGTGTGGCAGGTGGGGACCGGGTCCTCCCCGCTTCTCCATCTGCAGCTTCAGACTCTGCACATGGTTTAGCACACCGTGGGCGCCGAGCCCAGCAGGAACAGGGTGCCTTGCTTCTCAAAAGTTCACAGGCACGCATGGCTAGGTCCTCCTCTCCAAAGTGTCTCAGGAAATAAGCCTTCCTGTCCTCCTCCAGGAACCCCTCCACTCTTATATTGATGGGCTTCTCGGCCAGGAGCTGCAGGTCCTTCAGGGACCTGGGTCCCGCGGTGACCCACATGGTAACATCTTCCTCTTCAGCAAACTCCCCAGGAGGACCAGCACCGGCTTCAGTTTCTTCCAGTACCCGAAGATGTCCTGGATCAGCGCCCCGGGTGGGACTCTCAGCTCATCAAGGCGTTGACCATGAGCTGGATTCTCTGAGCTTAGCCTAGGATGTTTGCAATGACATCCTGCAATTCAGGCCGGTCTTTGGCAATCAGCTCTGCAAAACTGCAGGGGCCCAGGTGACTGAGCTCCTTGCAGCTGAGGTAGAAAGCGTATCTGGCCTTCGGGCCGAGGTTGTACTCTTTCCAGTCCAGCATACACTTTTTAGCCAGCGTGGTTTTCCCCAAGCCCGCAGGACCCTGCAGACCCACCGTGTAAGGTGATAGCTACGTGGTCTGCTGGGATTCAAGAATGGAATGAAGCTTTGGTTTCTCTGAGTGACGTGGTCGTGGAAATTGTCACTGTCTCCTCGCCAAAAGCTGTTCCTCCGGACCAAAGACTGTTCGTCCATCACGTTTCTCCATCCTTCCTTCTCACCTGGCTTTGCTAACTCCAAGACCTCTTTTGCGTCTCCGAGCTCAGGGTTATCTGCGTCTTCCACCTGTCTGTCATCCAGCAACTCAACCTTTGCCATCTGAGACAATTCCGGAAGTTTCGTCTCTTCCAAGATCTTCACAGTCGCATTTTTTATCCAACATTATGAGGATATGTTGTCCAGAATTTCTGCCAGTTTCTTGCCATTGGCCTCTTCCGCCTCAGACTATGGGGTCTTCTGTAGCACATCTTCTAGGGGAAAAGCCATAAGAGGGATTTGAAAGTCCCTAATTCACCCTTGCTCAGCTGCTCCAGAAGGGGCTGCAGAGTGCACTCTAGCTGTGGTGATGTCATAGTGCTCCACGTATGAGACCTTGGGTTAAGGCTGAAGAGCTCCTTAGGGCAGGTCTTGCTTCCAGCCTCCAATTATTGATTTTTTAAGTGAACTTTTTTCAATTTACTTTTATTAATTCCTCCTCTTTCATCCATCAGTATGATTTTAATTTGTTTTGTATCTTTGGCTTAATATTATTTTAATTTCTATTCCATTTAATAAATGGCTAATACCCTGATAACTTTTTAAAAAATCAATTGATCATACATGCATGGATTGTTTTCTGGGCTTTCTATCCTGTTTCATCATCCAGCTTATTTTTATGCCAGTACCATGCTATTTGGTTACAATAACTTTATAAGATATTTTGAAATTAGGGAGTGTGATATCACCAACTTTTTTCTTTTGTCCCAAGATTATTTTGACTCTTCGGGGCCTTTTGTGATTCTGCACATATTTAAGGATACTTTTATTTCTGTGAAAAATAACATTGCAATTTTGGTAGAGATTACATTGACACTGTAGATTATTTGGGTAGAATGAAAATTTTTGAAAGTGGGGTGTTGAGGCTCCACAATATTATAGTATTGCATCTATTTCTTCCTTCACATCATTTAATAAGTGCTTTATGTATTTAGCTGCTCTGATGTTAGGTGCATAATTACAATTGTTATGTCCTCTTGGTGAATTGACCCCTTTCTTATTATTTAATGACCTTCTTTGTCTCTTTTTACAGTTTTTGATATAAAGAATATTTTGACTGATACAAGTATAGATACTCCTGGTCTCTGCTGGCATTGAATATCTTTTTCCATACCTTCAGTTTCAGTCTGTATGTGTGCATGTGGTTCTTTTTTGTTTTGTTTTGTTTTTAATTAAATTCAGCTATCCTGTGTCTCTTGGTGGATAATTTAATCTGTTTACATCCAGGTAATTATTAATAGGTAAGAATTTGCTGCTGCTGTTTTGTCATTGGTTTCCTGAATTTTTTGGTAAGTCCCTTGTTTCTTTATTACTCTCTTGCTGTTTTCTTTTGGCTTTGCGGTTACCATGAGGCTTACATAAAATATCTTAGGCTTACAACAGGCTACATGAAGCTAATAACAATTGAACTTTAATCTTGCGTTCTCACTCCCTCCTTTTATAATTTTGATGTAGAAATTATTATTTGTTTTTGTAATTTGTATTTCTTAACAATTGCAGCTACAATTGCTTTTAATAGTTTTGTCTTTTAATCATCACGTAAGGATAAGATTGCTTTACATATCGCCCATAGAGTGTTAGAGAATCTGAGTTTGATTATGAGTTACTTAATACCACTGAGCTTTTTACTTTCATATTTTTTGCTGTTATTAAGTAGAAACCTTTCATTTCAGCTTAAAGAACTGCCTTTAACCAATCCTGTAAAGTACAGATAATGTGATAGACTCCCTTGGTGTTTGTCTGGGAAAGTTAGAATTCTCTCTCTCTTTTTTTTTTTTTGAGATAGAGTCTCGCTCTGTCACCCAGGCTGGAGTGCAGTGATGCTATCTCGGTTCACTGCAACCTCTCCCTCTTAAGTTCAAGTGATTCTCCTGCCTCAGCCTCCTGAATAGCTGGGATTACAGGTGCCTGCCAACACACCCTGCTAATTTTTGTATTTTCAGTAGAAATGAGGTTTCGCCATGTTGGTCAGGCTGGTCTTGAACTCCTGGCCTCAAGTGATCCACCTCCCTTGGCCTCCCAAAGTGCTGGGATGACAGGTGTGAACCACCATGCTTGGTCAACTTTCTCTTATTTTTTAAGGACACCATTGCCAAGTAAAAAATTCCTGGTTAGCAGTTCTTTTTCTTCAGCACTTTGAATATATCACCCTAATCTCTCTTGGCCTGCAGAGTTTATGCTAAGTCAACTGAAAGCCATATTGTGGTTCCCTTGAATGTGATACATTTCTTATCTCTTGCTGCTTTCAGTTTTCTTTGTCTTTGATTATTGATTATGTTTTATCTTGGTGAATTCCTCTTTGAGTTGAATTTGATTGGAGACTTCGGAGCTTCCTGTATTTAGATGTTGTCATCTTTCCCCAGATTTGGGGAATGCTTAGCCATTTTCTTAAATATGCTTTTTGGGCCTTCTTCTCTATCTTCTTCTGAATCTCCTATCATGTGAACATCACTTTGCTTGATGGTATCTCATAATTCCTGTAGGCCTTCTTTATTCTTTTTCTTTTTGCTCTTCAGACCGGATAATTTCTAGTTATCTATCTTAGAATTCATTGATTCTTTCTTCTGCTTAATTAAGTCTACTCTTGAAGTATTCCATTGAATTTTTCAGTTAAATTATTGTATTCTTTATGACTCAGAGTTCTATTTCATTTCTATTTATCATCTCTAGTTTTTTGTCAAAGTCTCATTTTGCTCACGAATTGGTTTCAAATTTAATTTTATTTATTTGGAGTTCCCTGAACTTCTTTAAGGGAGTTATCCTGAACTGTTTGTTAGTCATTTTATAGATCACCTTATCTTTCAGATCTATTATTGGATGTTTATATTTTTTTAGTGGTGTCATCTTTCCCTGACTTTTCATAATACTTTCGTTCTTGTATTGATGCGTCTGTGTTTGAGGTGATGACCACCTCTTTGAGGCTTTGACAGATCTTTACTACTTACTAGGAAGGGATTCTGGATGTGTTAGCTGGCAGTGAAGCTGGACCTTAGTGTCAGGTTCTCTAGTTGGCCTGTGTCACTTCCTGTACCCTAAGGTTGAACAGTACTGCTAACTGGACTCTGCAATTAACTCTGATCAGGCAGGATTATAGACTGTCTCCACTGGCTGGGTGGTATTGCTGTTCAGAGTCCGTAGTTGAGCAGGCCTCTGTGCTAAGCTCTAAGGTAGACTGAAGACTCTGGTTTTGTTACTTAGCTACACAGGGTGATCAGGGCTAGAAGCCATTATGTCCTACACATATGTGTGGACTTGAGCTTGCCTCCTGGCGGAGGGTAGGCTTAGACAAAGCACCAAAGCTTAGTGGAGTCCCTGCTCAGCTTCTGTTGCTGGGTGGGGCCAAATATACCATTTACAGAAAAGTACTGATTTTCACTTGCCTTCTAGCCTGGGCAAAGCGGTAGAAAGCACCAGGTCTATGTAGGAAAGCCAACAAAGGACTCTGTGTGTACCAGCTCTGCCAATACATATGGTATCTCAACTGATGCAGGCTTGAAAAAACAGTATACCTCCTTCCAACAATCAGTCTTGAGCATCTCTGTGTGCAGAGTGCAGAGGATGGGGCAGATACTTAAAGCTTTTTGGCAGAGGAATAACTTGACCAATTACATATGCCCCTTCACTCCTTCACTATGTCTGATCCTTGCTGACCGCTTTTCTCCCATGCCTGGGCTTCCTCTCCCGCTGTTCCTTTACCTTTGCAGTGCAGCATTATGCTGGCTGTTTGGTCAGACATTCTGAGCTTCAATCCTCCTGTTACTGTACAGTTATGTGACCTTGGAAAA